ATTATAAAGACCTGCAGAGCAAGAGAGAGATACAGAGGCGTGAGCAAGTGAGCGGAAAAGTGAAAGCAAACACGTGCTGACCGAAGAGGTGGCCTTGGTGTGATAAAAGAATGAGATGCACAGGAGGAAATGTACATTGAGAACGGGATGTGATTGGTTACTACAGCAGGTGCCAGGGAGTTCAGTCAAGTTATACAGGTGGAAAGTATATTGAAAACATTTGGTATATGGAGGAAGTGGTCACAGTACTGCTAAGACTACGTACCAGAAATAAATATGTTCCACAAATCCAGCTTCGGAGCTGTATCCGTGTACTGATAATAATTGGGTTTGGAAGGTGAACACAGCTGCCTGGTTAACATGTGCCACGGATTTGAGTCAAATGATACAGGTGAAAAACGTATTGAAATACTTCGGATTATGTAGGAAGAATTTGCAGTACTGCTGGGAGATTTTACCAGAATTGGTTATGTTCCACAAATCCAGCTCTGAAGGTGTATCCGTGTACTGATAAAATTTGGGTTTCGAAAGTGAACACATCTGCCTGGTAAGTATGTGCCACGGAGTTGAGTCAGTTGATTCAGGTGAGTTGATTTGGATTATGGAGGAAGAGGTCACAATACTGCTACGAGTATTTTCGAGAAATAATTATGTTCCACAGATACAGCTTCGAAGCTGAATCCGTAAACGGAAAAGGATTGGTTTAAGAAGTTGAACACAGCTGCCTGGTTTAGCACGGATATTATCGGGCTGGATCTAAGACGTGTCTACGTATTCAATCGTTCGGACTTATGCCGAGGGTTCCCAAGGCAAGAACGAACTGAGAAGGAAGCCGGGTACGAGCGTTTAAAGTGTATGTGACCTGCAGCAGAAAATGTACAGAGAGCAAAGCGCACGATACATTTCACCGAAAATTGTGTCAGGGTCGAGGTCATAAGAGTTCTCGAAAAGGAGGACAATAAAACAAAATAGGGTCTTTACATTGATCACGGGAATGGCGATAGAAAATGAAAACAATGTTACTACACAGCTCCTCCCCCTAGAAGGTTGATGAGGAGCAACAAACCTTCGAAAAGTCAAATGAAAACGATGTAGATGTGTGTAGTAAACGTGTGTAGTGAATGAGGTTATAGTAGGCAATAGTCCAATAGTTAACCAGTCTGTTGCAGTGGCTGAGGGAAATGGTCAACACAAAATGTGTGTGCATGCAGTCAATAGTCTGGTGGTTTAGGAACAGGTTCGGCAGCCACGAAAGCGTGGTGTACAGGTTGCGCGAAAACAGTACGGGTTAAAATCTTGCTATTGATGTCGGTCTAGGCCAGGTAACAGGACTTGCAGTTAGGTGTAATCGAATGCCAAGAAACTGCAATTGAGGTCGATGCGATTCCACGTTCGTGTATCGTGAGGTTATTCGTAGCGTACGGATGTTTCGATCATATAGAATCGTTTGTGAGCCGGTTTCGGATCCAGTCAGTGCCAACTTGAATAACGTTCCAGTTTGAGTGAGACGTCGGCAAACGACAGTGGAATGCCATTGTTGACGGGGGCGAATTGTCAAAGCTGTTGTACGTGCGCTGAAGAGAAGAT